GAATAATGCTTCTCTAAATTGTTATCAAAATTACAAAACCAGCTGCTCCAGCTTGGATGAAAAAAATTGGACAAAAAAATTTTCAAAATAAAAATTTTGCCTAGTTTAAACCGACTGTACTGAAAAAAAATGCACTACGCGAGTGTGGCAAGTGACGTCATAATTTGGCGCATTTAGTAAGGATTCCAAAATGGTATAACACTTGGTAAATTTTTGCTGTAATTTTCGTCAATTTTTGGTTATTTGGAAATAGTCCCGTTTTTAATTTTGTCTACCTTGGTTAAAAATTATTATTCTAATGTGCCCAAGTCACAGAAACTTTTGTCACCATGACAGTAATTAGTAGTTGACATACTGTGACTAAAGTCACCCGTGCGCGCGCGCCTTTACTACCTGCTCTGCCTGCACTTGTACTTACTTGGTAACAGGGATAATTAGGATACGAAGTTTCGGTTATGGATACGGTTACGGATATTAGAATAATATTATACCGGTTTCGGTTACGGTCACGGATATGAAATCATTTCAGATTATCCGGAAGTTTCGGATAATTTCGGTTACGGAATTATTAGAATTTCAAAAATTTAGGTATAATACAAATAGCAAGATGCTGCGTGAGCGTGACCCACATAGCTACTTTATGTAACAACTAAGACGACACCTATGTATGATAAAGGTAAAACAGGCTGGCATATTAGATGGTGCCAGCGAATGCCAGACAAGTTGGTAACAAATATTAAGATTTAAGGTACAATTCCAAGACGGGCCGCAGACCGCAAACTGCAAAACTATGAAATCGGCAGCGCGGCATTTCAGCTGCGGCGTGTATACTGCAGATTTCATAGAGTTTTGCAGTTTGGAATTGTACCCTTAGACTCCGCCTTTATCCGAAACTATCCGTAACTTTTGAATCAGGTTACGGTTATGGATATTTTTTATTTCGGATATCCGATAGTTTCGGTTACGGTTACGGATATCCATAACATCCCTGCTTGGTAAGATGGTCCTCTCCGTTCCGCTCATACCTTTTAAAATGGCTTCTCCACCTCACTTAAGCCAGAAACTTGAATTTTGGGCACATTAGAATAATATTTTTAACCAAGGTAGATAAAGTTAAGAACGGGATTATTTCCAATAAACAAAAATTGTCGACAATTACAGCAAGATTTTACAAAGTGTTATACCATTTTGGAATCCTTACTAAATGCGCCAAATTATGACGTCACTTGCCACACTCGCGTAGTACAATTTTTTTTCAGTACAGTCAGTTTAAACTAGGCAAAATTTTTATTTTGATATTTTTTTTGGGAATAATGTATTTTTTTCATCCAAGTTGGAGCAGCTGGTTTTGTAATTTTGATAACAATTTAGAGAAGCATTATTCAGGGTTACATAACAAAAAAAAAATTTGGAAAAAGTGAAGATTTGTGGCAACACGAGTAAAAAGACCGTCACCGGGAGTAGAATTTTTTGATTTTTTTTAAATGCCTATTATTTTGACAAAATGCCACATAGATTTTTTTTATATTTTTCTGATAACCAGCATAACTTGCCTCAACACCCAGTTCCGGCTTGACGTTACATTACGGGACACCCTGTATAAATACACTTTTCTAAATAACACATTTACTGGAATAGCAAAATTCGCGAAGATGTCTGGAAAATCTTCTGCGATCTCACAGATTAGACTTGTCCCTGAATATTGTTAGAATTCGATGCGTATCTAAACTTTTTGTAACAAAATACGCCTGATACTTTGTAGGTAAGCTGAAAATAAGAAGCTTAGAACAAATTTCTTGGAACCAAATAACAGGTACCAGGTCACTACCCTCCTACATTTATTTATTAGCATTCGAATGTGGGTTATCCAAGACAAAGCGGTGCCAAATCCTGCGCACACCGTTTACTTCCCGGTGCGTTGTCACTCCGCGCTAGTCCTCTAGTTAACTCGGTGCTGGGGAACACCTCTTTAAATATTTATAAATAATCAGGTGCTTCTATTTATACGCTTAACGTCAAAAACACCGCGTAATCGGGAGGCAGGAAGCTAGGCTAATCAGACCATTGGTTCGCTCGAATGATATTTTGCAATCGGATCGGTTCGCGTGGTTCAGAGTTATGGTGAGTGCTTATTATAATTTGCCGTGTTTTGTAACAGGAATCCGGTTACAATTTGTGCTTTTGTTTCACGGAACTAACGTCACGGATGTCGGTGATTGATTTGTGATTCTTGGTAACGTTTCCTACGTTAGATTTAATTATAAACGGAAAGATTCGGAGGTGAAATGTTTTGGTCCGTCTTATTGTCAGGAAGTGACATACTTTTCTAATTGGACGTTGCTAGGAAAATGATGGGGCGAGATTTATTTCTTGGTAGTTGAGGGATCGGATTCATAATAAAACGGCCAATATGTTATAAGATTTTCATAAGGTACTTGTATAATTCATATTCCATGAAAATTCGGTAACAGTACCTACTGCTAGTATTTAACGTGAATGTTTATCATTGTCATGTGCACTAATTTCAGTGACCATGAAAGTTTTACAACATACAGTGCAATTTTAGCTAGACTACAGTTCATTTATCTTAGGCCGATAGTAGAATTAAATCTGTGCAAATGTACGCCTGTACATATTGACTAATGCTTACCGTAACTCCAAAACTACGTCGAACTGTTGAAAGTAAACATAATATTCCCGAAAAATGCTTGAGCCGCGGGGACGCTCGCAAATATAAACAAAGTGCACGATGGGAATCCTCGGCTCCCGAATAATTTATTGTTTGTAAAGATGCGACTTCATATTATTTGCCTCCCTTTTTCTCTGTTTCTACCTTATTCCAGGAAACTAAGCCCTTTGTGACACATCGTACAACGTGCGTCTTAAATTTTAGTGTGTTTAAAAAGAAAACTTATGTTTCTATGTTTCTCTTCTTCTTCATAAACAACAGCTTGCTAGGTGCAAGCTTCTTGTCTTTCTACCAGTATTATTAAAGAGTAGGCTAGGTTTTTCCCGTAGATACCTACTTTTACAATATTTTCAGCATGAGTTTTGAATTTACCTACTGCTAATTCAACAATAGTTATAAAATAGAGCAGTAGAGTCTTAATAAATACAGTATTAAAGTAATTTAGAGTAAACTCCAATGTGTGTGTAGCATAGTCGAAGCTACTATTTAGTAAAACCGACATTCTAGCATTGATTCCGATGGTTTTTGCGGCCACGCCCACGCTAAGCTGAACCTTAAATGATAATGTTCAGGATTAGGAAGTCAAACGGTATTACGACACAAACATACCCGATAGCTTAGGCAATGTCGATTAATGCGTGTTCTTCCTAAGAACTACAGATTAGACTGTTTACTATTTCTGTGGCTTGTAGCTCAGTGATAACGCTTTGGTGAATGGCGATCACTATTGTTAAGCAAATACGTCACAATTTCACAATAATAAATGGGTGAATTTTCAATGGCATTTATCACAAGCATCCCCATGTTTTAAGACATACAAAAGTAGCATTATCACTAGATCTATTTTAATTCCTACTATTTGAGAGAGTAGTTAGTACTGTAGAATAGTTTCTAAGTATTCTAAATACTACGGCTTTTTCCGTGTGGATTTCAATAAAATATAGCTTGTGCTGCAGCTGCTATCCATCAAATCAATCAAACAGTCTAGCGCCAACGTAGACAATCTCCGCGTGAATTTTTCAGCCTTAAAAACTTTTTCGCTTTAGTTGTATCTATGCTAGATTTTTAGATATAACCCCAACAATAGTCCAATTTTTATGCCGTAGCAATTCGTTTTCAATGGCGCGTATTTTTTCCGAATAATATGGAAAAGGCCGACAAAGCGCTGATAGAGTATTAGAATTGTAAATTTTGTGGCGGTGATCGCCTGCCATTAACTGATAGAATATCTGATTGTATATTCATTTTGCGAAAACTTCAATACACCTGAATGATGAGCAATTTGAAATTTGTAAATATTTACTGCGAAAAGTACACCATCTAAGATTCTATTTCCATTTCCATTTTTTTTACAAAATATTTTCAACATAAAAAAAATAAATCGTCTTCTTCATCTATCGGCTCACTAATTGGCACTTTCACTTGAATATTTAAATGAAGAAAATGTTTGATATCTGGTCGAAGTGGTCACCCATCCATTACCGCGGGCTAGGTGGATTTACTTCGGTAATCGCTACTAATCGACCCAGGATCGAGCCTGGAGACGCATGATACGGAGGGCCGATCCCAAATAAAATGGGAATGGGCCAGGCAAAGAAGAATCGCTACCAAAGCGCCGCCGCCCCTGAACATCAAATACTTCGTACCAAAATTTTACAACTACACTCGGCATCAAATAAATCGCACCTCCCGCGACAAGCACTTATCAAACGTATGCATCCCCACTTCCCACCAACATTGGTACCATTTGAAAGCCTAGTTCTAAACTTCATTTCATTAAAGGAAAGGTTTTTACCCCAAAAATGTGTCTTTACAAGGATCCAGAGTCACTTCTTCAAAAAATAGGTAGTTACGCTATAGCCATTTTTTATGACTATAAAACTGTTAAGTTAGGATTAATCGCTATCCATCTGGACACGTGAGATCTTTATTTGGTTTTATAACCATACAAATTGGTCTAATTGATCCCAGAGGTGAGCCCAAAGTGAGGTCTATTTTCATGTCACATTTATGGTGTATGTTAATCATTTATTTTTACAATATTTCTGAATAAAGAAAAATAAAATAAAATTTATTTAGAAATGAAATGTATTTTTCTTTATGGATATTTATTGGGCTTTCAAATAACACCAATATTGTTGGGTTAGGTACCATAATTGTGTCAGAAGAAAATCTTTAAAGTTCGCGTCGCGGAAGGTGCGGTTTATTTGATGTTGAGTGTATTAACATTTATTAAAAAAATATACAGTAAGCAATAATTATTTAAAGGAAATTGTATCTAAAGTCATTAACCTAAGGTTTCTTGTTCCAGCGGAAGCGTCGCCGAGCGATGCGCTGACCGGCAAGCCGCCTCCGAGGTCGCCGTCGCACGCGCCGCCCAGCCCGCACAAACGTGAGTCTCTTTGCCTCTCTTTGTCACTCTTTGTCCGACCCGACCAGCGAGTCGCCTCTCTTTGTAACCACGAGCCCTTTGTTCGACCCCCACAGAACAAAACACTCGCCCAAACATCCTTGTTTTGGTCAAAGATCACGTTACAAATAACCTCTTTGTTGTTAATATTAGAACAAATGGAACTGTGTGACAATACTTCTAAAATTAACGCCAAAACAGGTTGTAATTACAGTTATTGTTCTTTGACAGAGTTAATTATTGTTCTAGTTTCGCCAATCGTTAATGAATATACAATTGATCCAAAAAACTCTTAAGTAGTCTAGGTAGGATAACTACGTTTTAGGTTTAATCACACCTATACCTCACCCATGTTATCATAATTTGCCAGACAAATTAGGTTTCCCCACAAAGGACTTGTCACAGAGTAAGATAGCAGCATATTATGCGACGGTCAGCGGATTAGCAAGTAAAATCGGCCGATTGTGAAGCGGCGACCTAACTTATTTGTGAGTGGTCTGTAGCCTGGTTTGGTAGTAAGGATGTTTGGAGGCGCGTAATGGTATGCGCATATGAAAGTAACAAATAGGAGGGGCAGGTACAATCATCGGTTACAATTACCAGACACTTTTACCTTACCATAATACTCGTATTATGGTCATAAAGTAGAGAGAGAAAATGTCTCTTCTGTAAAATTAAAAAAAAAAACATTAATTAAGTCCTTTTCTACCGAAGATGTGATTATGATGGTACATCAAGCTTAACTTTCCTATCTTATGTTGTTATACTCGTAGGTGCGATTGAAATAAAAACGTAGAGTCTGGTATGTAAATAATGAGCAGCATCTTTATACATTACAGTACATATAAACATTTCTAACACGTGAGCACAAATGTTATTTTCATTGAGACTATACTCATAGTTACTCCGGTCCATTTTGTTACTTAGGTTCAATATCCTTTGCAATAACGAAGCTCTCGCTGCATTGCGCCCTCTGCTCTCGCAATAACCTATCCCACGTGCCGGCGCTCCCGTTAGAATTCTTTTTGAAGTGAAACGTGTCAAACTAACACTGAGCTTCGCGCCTGCAGTCACATTCACCTTATAACCCTTTGACAGTGTGCCAAAAAACCGGCTCCGGCGACCGCGGCCGGCTTGGCACACCGCGCCGGATCTATCCAGCGATTATGTCATGCATAGCAATACCAATAACCAACCTCCGTTTTGTTATTCCACGGCGCAAACAAATATTCGACTTTCATTTTTATTGTCGCGCAAAAAGCCGGTCGAGGGTGATATTTCTGGAGATCGCGAGTGCATGTTTACTGGGCAGGCGCATTCGCTGTGCGTCTGCGTCACAGTCTATTTCGGTTACTTTTATTGCCCGCATAGGTATTGTATTGGCGTCTAAACTATCAAACTCTACACGTAATCATCAGACATACCATTGAGTCGTTTTTATAAATTGAAGAGGTTTTTTCTAGAAACCTAGCTTACCTAATTTGAAAACTAAATTTGTTTACCTCAAACCAGCCTGTCTCGTGCGATAAGAAATTTCAGTGTCCTTCACGCTTTCAACAATGTCATACTATATTTTCAGGCTAGCTCAAAATTACTAGAATTAGGTAGATATTAGGAGAAATTCGTGCCAGTAAAATGATTTTATTGGAGTTTTACTTTATGAAACTGACTCGCTAGCTCCCATATTAAAATTCTAAGTGACCGTTTGCAAGCTCGTGAAAAAGCGAACCCTTGACGTGAAAATTTCATTAAAAACTAAAACTCATTAAAACTCATTTATTTCTGTAAATAGGCTTAAAAAAAGCACTTTTACACGTCCCAATATTAACCCTACCACTGCTTCAGGACAATAAATGGGCCAGTGCTGAGAAGAAGCAGCGCAAGAAACTCAGTCACTATTGTCAGCCTCTTTTTCAAAGGTTTACATGCTTTAAAATGTACAAAGTTATAAATATTTATGCGAGCTAGGCAGTAACGTATCCCAAACATTTTTATCTTTTAAATAATCATCGACTTTATAGTAGCCTTTTTTCATTAAGGTACTTTTAATATGTGCTTTGAATTTATGAATGGGTAGTTCTACAACAGTTTGTGGTAATTTATTAAAGAATTTAATACATTTTCCCATAAATGAATTACCAATCTTATGCAATCTGAAATTTGGAACGGCAAGTTTATTTTTGTTTCTTGTATTAAAGTTATGCAAATCGCTCTTTTTCGTGAATTGCTCTATATTTTTGCGGACATATAAAAGGTTTTCATAAATGAACTGTGAAGCTACTGTCAGTATGTTTATTTCCTTAAAAAAATCTTTCAAGGAAAATCGGGGTCCAAGGTTATAAATGGCCCGCACTGCTCTCTTCTGCAGAACAAACACAGTTTCAATGTCCGCGGCTGAGCCCCACAACAATATGCCGTATGACATTATACTATGAAAATAGCTAAAATATACTAGCCTTGCCGTTTCAATGTCAGTTAATTGCCTTATCTTTCTCACTGCAAAAGCAGCCGAACTGAGCCTTTTTGACAAAGTTTCAATATGAGGACCCCATTGAAGTTTAGCATCTAAAGTGATTCCCAGGAATGTTGTGGAATTTATGCTATTTAATGGTTCATTCTTCACCATTAATTGCGTGGAAACCTGCCTCACATTAGGTAAGGTAAATTTAATGCACTTAGTTTTGTTTGCATTTAACAATAAGTTGTTAACAGTGAACCAATGTAGAACCTGTGAGAGTGTGTTATTAATATCGTCAAAATTTACTTTACCTCTATCAACTTTGAAAATGAGAGATGTGTCATCAGCAAATAACACAATATCACACAGATCTTTTACAAAGTAAGGAAGGTCATTAATGTAAATAAGAAATAGCAAAGGTCCCAGTATTGATCCCTGCGGCACACCCATAGTAAGAGGTGCTCCAGAAGACTCAGTTCCGTTAATACAAACTTTTTGTTTTCTGCCTGTGAGATACGAGTTCAGCAGATCAAGTGACTTATTCGAAACACCATAATGTCGCAATTTGTTTAGTAAGGTTTGGTGGTCTACACAATCAAACGCTTTTGAAAGATCACAGAAAATACCAACAGCGTCCTTTTTACTCCCCATCATAAACAAGTTATTAAAACTTACCATGACCTAGGTCAAGCAGATCACATTGACAGCCTGAATAATACTGCATCCACTGAAATAGTTTAATTCAGTTTAGAAGTCTCGTACGTTGTAAAAAATAATGCAAACGACTGTACTGAAATAAATTGTACTTAGAGAGTTGAATGGGAGTGTGTTGGCGAACGAAAAATGCACGACAGTAGCGTCATACAAAGTTACAAACCCAGATTACAAATACAATTTAACGTTACTGATTTTTAAGCCAGCAAATTGTTAAGCCAGAAAGTTACGAGTTACGAGTATTAATTCGAGAAACAGCTTATTATTATTCATCACTTGTATAAAAATTCAACTTATTTAATTCAATTTAATTTAATTCAATTAATTTATTCAAAATCAACCTACTTCTAAAACTTAATTACACCGTGAAAAACATAAAATATATTGTACATCCTCTGCAGTTAATTAAAGTGTTTACGACCAATGACATTCAATAAACTGATTTGAACTTTCAATCTGATAAACTGGACTTTCAATCCCATAAAGTAGCTTACCATAGGTAGAACCTTTCGTACTGTACCGGCTAGAGAGACAATCGTAAATTATAATTGAATGTTTATTAAACTGGAAATACATTTGCTTCTATTCTTTTTTCTTTCTCTGGAGTACGGATTTAAAACGCGTTCGGTGCAAGAACAATAGTCTTGACCTATTTTCTCGTATCTTGTTTTATTTCTGAAATATTAATACGGGAAATGTTTCTGACTTGTATATGGACAAAAATATGCTCTCAACATTTATATTAAAACATGTATTTATAGGGAAAATATGTAGATATTCAAGACATTGATATCGCTGTTTCAGTAAAAGCTGTTGGTATTTCCAGTTGACTAAATTCGAGGTATTGCACAATTTTGCACCATATTACTAAAGGATTCATAAACAACCTTGTTTAAAACGTTGTTTACCAAAGCGGGCACAATTTCAGAATATCGATACCACATTTTAAGCTTTCTTATTAATTTGAAGCACTTCGCTAAGTAAATTATGTAACATCCTAATTTATATCCAATTTGGCACGATCCCCGCCGCGTTCCATCATGCCTCGGATTATTAGAATATGTAGGTATTTTATTTTCGGGAGGAGAAAGCAACCGTGTAACAAACTTAGCGTTATTGAGAACATAATGCGTATTATACGGTGTTTATTATATTTAAAATCTTTATTTCACACAAATATTGCGGTACAAAAGGTGAACTAAAAGCCGTGTGGCATTCTCGCATTCTCTATCAGTGTGTTTACGACTCTATCTTACATTTACATAAACCACATTTAACAAACGCAGTCAATAGAAGACCTACTTACTCATAAATAAAAGTAAAATTATTTATAGTCTCCTCCACTGTACATTAAAAAAGAATACAAATAAGGTTGAGAAAAGCCTGAATGCTATAGAGTTAGGGACAAACATTGATTTTCAGTAATTTCTCATCGTGGTTCTGAAATAACTTTTGATCAAGTACATTATCTTTAATGGAAATCTTGCTGCTCTTGTATTTAGTACAGCCTTACTAATAGTTATACAACGATCATCACTGTAGGCACTAAACATGCACTTGTTCAAGAGCACTCAGGCGCGACATTGTCAGTTATGTTTGTCGTTGAATAATTTTGAAGAATCTACCTTTTTTGCACATTTGGTAAACATGAATCGACAAAATTACATACATTAAGTTTTTTGTTTAGCTATGATATCATAATTATTTTCACGTCATGCCTAAATACTAGTGCCTAAATAAAAACTATAGTCTGACTAAAATGAGTATTTTAACAGTACAAAAGAATAGACGGATTGGGAATTTTATTATGAGGTAGACAGACAGTTTAAAGAATTTATCTAAGCATACGACGACTTCCAATACTTATTAAATATTTAATAAAAGATTTGAACCTGCACATTATTGGATCGTGCAGCTAGTTCAACCAGCATTCTATTATAAACACTTGTAGAGAGAAGAAAAATACTTTTTTTTTACCATACAAAGATTTGAAACGGTACACCATTTTTCCTTCAAATTGCTTTAAATGTTATGATTACTCGCCTACAACCAAGTAGGCGGTCTCCTTGCATGCGAGTATAGGAAATTACATCATTTCGTTCTCAGATTTGTATCTAGGTAGATACGGTTTTGGCAGACTGCGAAACTAAATACTTGCTAAATAGTTTAATCGTGACACATTATTTTTCTTTCACGTCACTCCCAGACTATTTTGTTGCCGAATATTCTTTAAGGCTAGGTTGCACGGTCTTACATTTACTATAACAAACGTCAGAAGTCAGTTAAACTCCATACGAAACACCGCTTATGGATTTAGTTACGGTTAAATAAGGTGGTGCAAGTTAGCCTAAGCTTAGCATTATTCTTTAGGAAGGTAGCAATTTTAGGCTAAAACTCCTCCTATGTTCTTTTAATTAATTTCGTTGCGGGTCCAATGACAGTTTAACTTTCCCCCTAACCCAACCAATGAAGGTCAAGTTTGTCCAACTTGACCTTCATTGGTTGGGTTTTTGTGACGGTCAAGCTGTAGATCCTGGCTACACAGGAGTTGCAGTGGTGGGAACGAGAGGTGGGAATAGTCCCGTAATATTGAATTTTGTTAGATACTGAACATTTCCAAATGTAGCTGATTGTAAATAACTGTTATTTTCGTGTAAGCCAATATTTTTTCAATGGAAAATTTGTGTCGTTATGCAAGTACTCGTATGTCGCCGACAACAAGATAAATATTTGATTGGCCGTAACTGCCTTGCACCAGTGGAAGTGGTCAATCAATGCCTACTTAGGTGACCTGCAAGTCTGGTACCGGCTGCGTTAGTCTAGTTTTAGTCTATGTTACGTAATGGTACATTTTTCTTCCTGATTCGACAAAATACTTGCGATACAAGTTTATCACATTCCAAGTATATGTTCTAATGATCAATTAATGGAACTAAATTATATTTTGCTTTTAATCTGTCTCGTAGAAATAAATCGGAATGGATTTTATAACAATTAAATTAATATTTTCCCAAAAACGATTAGGAAAACTCTTTAAAAAAGAGAAAAATACCGCACGTGTATTTGAAGTTGAATAACAAATCATGTAACTCAACCTTGACTGTACATATCTCACCGCCTTTATTTTCATGTTCATGTCATCAGAATTATAAATACCAAAGCATACATTTAATACATACGCACATCAAAACAATAATATCCCTACCTAAAAACGGAATGATAATGCCATTGTGATACCTGCACGATGAATTATTTCGTATGCGTCCCGGTCATCTAATTCCTAATAAGTTGCATGGGCTATTATGTTTTTTTGCTCCCCGTTACATCCCTAAAATAGTCAGCGTGTGTGTGTGTGCAATATTAATTAGCGTAATGATTTACATAGTGGTCGATAATACGGGCATGGCGCGAGTGTGCGAGGGCCGCGCTCCCTCGAGCCGAGCCGGCCGCCGCGCGCGCACTCGCGTTCACGTCTCCGCGTAAAAATAAAGTCCACGCCGCGCTCGCGCACTTCAACCCATTTATAATTATCAGTAAATCGCTGCACGAGCGCTTGACTGCCGCGGCCGGCGACCGCTCGCTGAAAAGAAAATCACAATCCCAACCACGAACTTAGCCCTCGCTCTCCCCGTCCCCCTGGCCCTTTACGCGACTCGCAAATCGTACCGGCCCTAGTCCTACCGGCGTCCCGGCCGACAGCCCCGAGACTGTCGCTCCTACGCAATACACACCGGTGACGGAACCGAAAACGCGCTCCATTGGACAACGTGTGTGCTCTGTGATTACGATTATGTTGTGTCAGTGATAACAGTGTGACGGTTGTTATATAAACATGCCCGAAAAGTCTAAACGTCGGAAAAACAATAAAAATAAACGGAAAAATAAAAACAATCGACCTGATAACAATAAGAATGCGAACAGTGATGTGAAGGATCTCGCTTCGGTTGAGTCGGGTAGTGTTCAAAGTTTAGAATGCCTGGACAACAATGAAGTGACTAATTTACAGGCGGAAAATGTTGCTGAAGTCGTGCAACCGTGCACGGGTGACTTAATTAGTGATGCAGAAAATAGTATTCAAAATGAATGCAGTTCGCAGACGTGTCAACAAGATCTTAATAATAATAGTGAAACTTCAGAAGTATCCTGTGATCCGGTGATAATTGCAGATTCTGAGACGCAGGATTCTGAAACATATATTGTAGAATCTCCAGAACAGACAGTGAAAAGTAAGCCTAAGACTAAACTGAGTAATAAAATAAAAAGCAAAAGCTTAGATAATGACGATGATACAAAAATTGAAGAAATAACAGATGATGGTGGCGATCAATGTGAAAATGATAATAGTATGACAGTAATAGACAGTAATGTCTTAGTTTCTGATGTAGAATCAGACGTAGAATGGGAAAAAATAGATGAAGATGAAACCACTCAGCCCGAAGAACATGCAACAGGAACATTGTCTATTACTACTATTCCTCTAAACGTCGCACTATGTGAACAAGCTAAATCACTTACTCCTGACGAGGAAACTTTAAGACATTACTTAAAAACATTAAACCTATCGACACATCCTAATGTTAATGCAATCGAAATCAAAACAGAAATTGAACAAATAATAAATCGTGAAATAAGACACCGACTTCGCAAAAAAGGTCTTGCTGATGATTTTATTCCTTCAAGGTTGGGTCCCCCAAGGATTTTAGATGTGATCGATGAAGAAGGTAGTAGCGAATCATCTTTAACATCGCGTAGACAGTCATATCTTAGCGATAAAAAGAGTGACAATGAAGAATTAGAAGATGATGTTTTTGAAGATCCGTCAAAGGTTACAAAAAAGCAATCTTCAAAGTCCACATCTACTATTGGGCGAAGCCATAAAATGATAGGTCAATTAGTACCTCAAGAATGTTTCTTAGTTGGAGCTAAGTTAAAGGAATCTGAAGTTGCAGAAGCTCGAGGTGACTGGACTATGCAAACTGTTGAGAAAATGAAAGGGGCTGAGGTTGTTTATTTAACAGATTCATCTAGCAGTACCAGCTCAGTCCACGAACTATGCGATGAAATTGACAATGGCGAGGATACTGACGTTTCAGTCCGAATGATAACTCCGACTATAGAAGTAACTGATACAGACAAATTACTGAAAAATACTTTTATCACTGAAAACGATAAAAATATTGATTTGCAACTGGAAAAAGACAAAAATATAGAAATTTTGACGAATAGTGAAGAAAATGATCTGAATAATAGTGACAAAGCAAATGATCATGAAATAATAGTTTCATCAATTGATGATATTAAAACAAATTTGTATGTCAAAGATATTGATGAACATTGTCAAGATAGCCTTACAGATACTACAAACAAGAAAGTAGACTTACAAACGAGTGATAAATCAAAATCAGACGAAGACTACAATCTTCAAATGAAAGTACTCAAATGCGAATTGAATGATGCTATCAATAATTTGATAAAAGAAGTTTCTAGTGACTCTGAGACTAATGAAAATCCTAAAGACAATTTTGTGCGTCAAGATTCTTCTAGTAGTGTTGGCTCCTCTTCCCAATGCACGGCAAAATATAATCCAACCCACTCCTCCTTGAATGATGTTTCTAACATGGTGCATGATGAGATGAGCTCAGGTCCCAAATTATCTAGAAATAATTCTCAAGAAAATAGCGCAAGTCATGTAAAAGATGTATTTGAATGTGTTACAGGGGCACCTGCACAAAATAACAACGAAAGCGATCTCAAAACCATTCAGCCTTCAGCTTTACGAGATATTTGTGTCAGAAGAATTGCTTCTTTGCCATATGGAGAAAAAATACTAGAAGAATTAGCATCTGTATCAGAACGCTTGCAAAGTATTAATAGTTTTGGCATTAAAACTGTTAACAATAAGGAATTAGTATCTACTGAAGAAAATCAAACTAAGAACATGCCTTATTTTCCTTTGCCAGATGTATCGGTGATTGAAAAAGTATCTTTGCCAATTCATCAGAAGAAACCTCAGCCACCTCCTGTACAACCCAGAAATTCTTCTTTAAAGAAATCTCAAGATGATAATCACTGGACTGGTGTGCCAACTGAGGTCGAACCAGTTTATGTATGCTTTTCTCCATCACAAAAAATGCTTATGGAAAAAACAAACACTGTTATTACTAAAGAAGATGCATCACAACTTGTTGATATGCACAAAAAATATGTTGATCGCAGGGGTTATAACGAACCTAACCACACTAAGAAACATAATGTTGAAGAACTCCAAGATCCACCAATAGTTCCTTTCAAGTCTCAGACTGGTAGTCGTTTGCTAGCACTAATACGAGACCCAACAGTCACCTCCAATGTAAATTCAAATGTTAACAGTCGTTACCAAAGCAGTTATGAGAATATCAGGAAAACTTTTAGCAATTATGAAAGGAAAAATGAAAACAACTTTTCTTCTAATTTTAAACCTATTCCACCACCAAGACCAAAGAAATATTCATCATCTTTTTACGAAAGTGACGAAAGTTCAGACTTCACAGACAACTCTATGCGTTCGATTAGAAGCGAAAAAAAGTCGTTCCATTACTCAACGGGAAATCTGAGTAAAGATATAGAAAATGATATATCGTCGATACAAAACATGCACCGATATTATACTCATACTCGTGATAGTTTGAGTGATCTTAATCGTCCTAGACGACCCTCTTTACCCAAAGATCTCTGTGATCAACAAATGGAGTATATTCGTCGAAAAGAGAAGGAAGTAGAAGCTGAAATCAAACGCTTAGAACAGGAAAAAATCCATATGGCTGCAAGCAAAAAAGGTCCCAGAGCTCCGTTAATAGCCGAAAAACCTGCGCCAGAAAGAAATATCCTAATGGATGATCATCATTTTGCGCAGAAAAAAGATGTATCTTTATCCCAATCCTCTGAAAAACTAAATAGGAGTAAATTATCATCAGTTTTTAGCAGCAGTCAAGAGGAACTCTTGCGTGACAAAATGTATTCCGAGTACGTAACTCAAATGGCAGAAAGACAAGAAAGAAAACAACATAAAATTATCAAAATTACCAACCCGACTCCATCATTAAATAGTAGTAATAGAACAGTGTCTAAAAGTTTATCAGCTCTTGAAATACTTGATTCTAAAGTAAATAATCGTATTGAAAAGGAGTTTATATCAAAAGCCAGAGAAAGATGGAATAAGCTTGGTATAGCAGATCCCGAAACTGAAGACGAAAGAGATAATAAGGATGTGTATAGGGAACCAAAAGTGATAGAACATAAGATCAAAGTGATTGAGGGTGGTGAGGAGACTGATGTTAAAAAGTTGCCTTCACATTTGCAAGAGTTTGTGACTTTTACAGCGAAACAAAAAGAACAAGGGGCTGCCAGTTCTGGTGAGTCAGGCTCCGGGTCTGCATCTCCGCACGTTGTGATTTGGTGTGCAGTGATAATTTTAGTTTTAGCTGTTGGAAAATACTTTATGCGCCTATTGAGAAATAAGTGAACTAACTTTATTATCCTTGACTGTATTTCTGGCATAAAACTCTGTGTTTGCGTAGTTTGTTTGTGATTGTTTGCATGAATGTGTTTCAATATCTACCATTTTTCCTTCTACCCAGTTATCGACAGAACATTGATGATATCTCCAAATTAATAAGGTAAGTTTCATTGCCAGATGTGCATTATTATTTTCCATTTAGTAAATGGAATCGTTTGATGAATCAGTGTTAGTGTAATAATAATATATAAATATCTGACGTTGTATTCAGGCGTCCATTACGATCGAATTTGATGTGTATTTCCATTTTGACCTAAAGTTACCAATAGATTAAAGTTAATAAAATTCTGATCAAATGTTTTTGCGTCATAAGTTTAATGACATTTTATTATCAACTGAAGTTGATTGGTATTTAAACAATGCTTTATAATAAGTACTACGAGTATTTGCACAGGTGAACCTTGTTCGGATATCCTTTGTGTATTTTCAATGTTGAAGACGTATGAGCCAACCAACTCTTCAAAATAAATGAAATGCATACGGCGAGTTTACATTATCGACTATGTAAATGAACTGAAACGTGTTAAATTTTTAACAGAAATACCCAATGCATTTTAATAAATTTTAATTAATAGCATTACCTATTATTTGATAGATGATACTGTAGGATTGCATTTTGACCTGCATTAGATGTCAGTGGTGATAACAGACCTTGAGTGACTGCAAAATATACATAGCTGTTATGTTTTGATGTAGTTATAAATATTGTTTACAGTTTCTGGTCTATGTTTATTGAATAAACGTTTGTGTGATTGTATAAATATAATGTTTGATTTTTTCTTTGATTAGATAGATCTTTGAATCAATTTCATTCCAATGGTATTATCATCTCTATTTTATCAATTTTCATTTAGTAAACATTAATGATCGTTCGAAATATTGTAGTTTACAAGTAAGTGGAATTTCATGAATATTCTCTCATACAAATACATACATACACAACAATATGCCTAACAGCGTGACTGACAGCCGTTAGTGACTGTTATTCGCTTTATCTTATTGACGAATACACGTCGCAAATAAACGATAGCTCCTCAATTGTTATCTTCAATCAGTATTAATTTTGACGTCAATATGTGTTATAAGAAAGTCATTTGCCATCAGCTGGTCCAAATACTTAGTTGCAATACGCATAATTTTCAGAATAAACGTACGCGTTGTCCGTGAAAGTATGTGGATCGTCTAAATCGGTGCAAATGGGTGCGGTGACTCAAATTCACAAACGTACGGCACGTTATTCTAAAGCTTTGCGCCTTCAAAAATAATACTCGCATTATATCCGGAGAAATGGGAACGAATATGCCCAACCTCATAAGCCACCGAAGTAATTTATTGCGACAAAATCGTCATTGTGACGCTTTAATCCAAGTCTTTCTCTGGGCGCAAATAAATAAACCTTGACGCAATTATAATTGTGACCCTTTACACGGTGCGATTTTTCTATGTCATAGTGATATCAATCTTATGTGACGGCGCTCTGGATTCGATTATTGTAGGCCCACAAGAAAGTACAACAAAGTATCAATAGGAAATGTAGTTTTAGTTCAACTTTGTATTTTTATTGGATTAAAATCTACGATCGAAAGAATAGTTTCATCTAACATTTCAACACCTAAATTCATACGAATCGAGACGTGTAAAGGCTCCAAATGCTAGTGATATGTTTTTCATCAGTGCGGCATACAATTACTTTATTATCTCTTGACTTTGCGATAGACTGACCTTCCTCTTCCATCAAGTGAATTTTATTTATCTTATTCATTGCGATTACTCATAGTAAAATCAGATAAATTACGTACTTTAATTTTTGTATATTGATATCTAGTTGTTTAATTATTTTGACAAGATAGGTCGCGCTATCTATGGGCTTAAAAAAAGGAAGAAAAGGAAGATGTTTTTAGGTAAATCTTGATTTATTATTTTCACTACATAAATCTGTATGTCGCATGTCAACAATCGGTCTGTCGAATCAAACACATTTTGCTTGGTTGACTCATAAATGTCTCGTCGAATGCAGCCAATCAGACCACTTTATTATGATTTCCTCTTCCGATTATTTTTATAGGTATTCTGCCTGAATGATTTACTTCTTCCTTTACCATAGCACTGTCATTTCAATATGAATTATTTGGATTTTCTTTTTGTCAAGGAATAGGACTTACTGCTTTTTGGGACCAATTTAATCTTAATTGATAACTATAGTTTTAATAGACACTAGCGGCCGCCCGCGACTTCGTACGCGTGGATCCTGTTTTACCCCCTTTTCCCGAATTTTCTTTGCTATAAACCTCACGGAGCCCGAGACCTTTCCAACGAATGCAAAACCGTGGAAATCGGTTCGTGCGTTCTGGAGTTATAGCGTCAGGGAGGAAAACCCGACTTTTTTTATATAGTAGATGAAGCGAAGTAGGTATTTGTTATGCGTTTAGGTTCTCATATACTAAGTACAATAGGCGTCAAATAGTTCATGACACCCAAATTGGCCAAAATGTTGACAACACAACCTTATTCCAATTGTAACAAAGACGTGTTGCTGAACTTTTTGGCTATTTTGGGTGTCACGAACTATTTGGCGCTGACTGTACATAAATCCAAGTTAATGTACCCATGTATTTGGTCATACAGTGCAATATTGATGATGCGGGCGTGGGGATATTATTATTCCCTGAGGTATCTAAGCTATCAATCTGCGATAATTAAATAGACCAATCTAGGGTCCGTTCTGAAGCCGCAACAATGGCGCCGGTATTTCAATTAACAGCGCGGTTACATCGCAGTATGAACAATAGTGCTTTGGCCGTAATATTGTTATACATACACTCACATCAATCGAAATTTTCAATTAAACTTCTTTTGTTTACAATTTAGGTTGGCAGTGTATTTGTTTTTACTATTATTTTCGTAGTATAACACCAATTTTAGATCGTTTTATGCCGAACCAACATGGTATTTGACCGCAATTGCACCTGATGAATGAGATGCAGGGTTATAATGTAATCTAAAGAAGAGATGCAGTTTAAACCGTAACGCTTACTTTTTGTAGATCCTAAAATGAATACTTTATTTACTTTTATGGTTTTATGATGCACTCTCGCAAACAAACTTTGTCCTAAAAGAATTCAACATTTCATTGAAATGTGCAATGTTTTCGACGGCACACTTACACTGCACATTCGTGCTGTAACTTAACCGTGTATTTAAAGCTTATTTGGACTTTCTTCACGTTTACACAACGTCCTTATCGTCACATTTCGCCACACACCGTCTATTATTGTGAACTGCATACAAAACCGGAGCATAACGAGTTTGCCAATAACATTGTCGTTATATTTCAACGTGCCACTCCGAGGTAGTTAGGTGCCAGAGAATGGTCTGATGGACGAGCTGTAGCAACGTTGTGACGTACAGAAGCCAGCATATCAAGCTTTACACTCTGGCATCTTATGCACCTGTAATAGGTGCGATTTTGCAACAGAAATGTATAGGCTGATGTGCTGTTGACTCTACATCTTCCCGCTTAGGTATTCCATTTCACGTTTCCCGGTTAATCCTTTCAATTTGACGTTTTTGAAATGTCCCGTAAGCTCACACACTTCTATCTCGAAATCCAATGTTTTCTGCGTCGCGTCTGGTGACCCCGGTCAGCAAATATATTAAAGATCTGTAGCGTTTCTCGTTAGTAGAGTTTTGTAAATACAAACTGTCGGCGATAGAAATGAAAAAGTGTGTTTGTGCCATCGTAGTTCCGAATTGATAAATCGATTTTCATGTAGTTTCTTGCTTGAAATGTGACATGTATCTTTCCTAATCTGTTGATGTAATAAGAACTTACCAAAGCTGCCAACATTTTAAATTACCTACTGACATAGCCCATCTGTACCCATACTTTCAAGTGCCTATTTAGTCTTGATTTTAGCTGGAATCTGTGCAGTATTTGTTGTCCATAATGTTCCGTATGGGCAATCAAACAAATCGGGATAATTTTAACGTCAGTCAGGCCCCTGCCCCAAAGAGGCGCGGGCGCCGGAAGTGCGATGCGGAACTGACGTCACAGGGGCCCGGGACCCGCTGCCACGCTTTGTATGAATAACACGTCGAAGTTACACTTACCTATACAAATAAATAATTAAATTCTGGCTTGATAAAGTTAGCTGCAGAATTTTTTTTTTTTTTTTTTTTTTTTTTTTTTTTTTTTTTTTTTTTTTTTTTTTTTTTTTTTTTTTTTTTTTTTTTTTTTTTTTTTTTTTTTTTTTTTTTTTTTTTTTTTTTTTTTTTTTTTTTTTTTTTTTTTTTTTTTTTTTTTTTTTTTTTTTTTTTTTTTTTTTTTTTTTTTTTTTTTTTTTTTTTTTTTTTTTTTTTTTTTTTTTTTTTTTTTTTTTTTTTTTTTTTTTTTTTTTTTTTTTTTTTTTTTTTTTTTTTTTTTTTTTTTTTTTTTTTTTTTTTTTTTTTTTTTTTTTTTTTTTTTTTTTTTTTTTTTTTTTTTTTTTTTTTTTTTTTTTTTTTTTTTTTTTTTTTTTTTTTTTTTTTTTTTTTTTTTTTTTTTTTTTTTTTTTTTTTTTTTTTTTTTTTTTTTTTTTTTTTTTTTTTTTTTTTTTTTTTTTTTTTTTTTTTTTTTTTTTTTTTTTTTTTTTTTTTTTTTTTTTTTTTTTTTTTTTTTTTTTTTTTTTTTTTTTTTTTTTTTTTTTTTTTTTTTTTTTTTTTTTTTTTTTTTTTTTTTTTTTTTTTTTTTTTTTTTTTTTTTTTTTTTTTTTTTTTTTTTTTTTTTTTTTTTTTTTTTTTTTTTTTTTTAAAGTTTATTAGTAATTTGTTATTACACAAATTACTAATACTCCCGTTAGCCCCTCGTACTAAGCTAAATATGCTTGTGTCACGAGTGAGCTCACCACAATAGTCGAGCGGCGGCGGGGACCGAACCCGCGTTCCCCGGATCACGAGTCGGCCAGTCTGACCCCTTCACCGTTCGGCTATCGTGGCTTTAAAATTACCTACATTATATTATTTTTAAAACTCAAATTGGTAATTGTATTTTGGTTTATGATACATACTAACTTTTCACATCATCAAAACATCTCATCCATGAACATTTAAGTATAATTTGCCAATACCTAAGCTACGAAACGTACCTACATAGAACTTAGGCTCAGAACAGACGGTAAAAACGCAACTGCAACGAAACTGCAACTGCTAGTTACTTTTGAGTTGCATCTAAGTTTCTGCCATAGCGTCCGTTGAGAGA